GGGAATGTGTGTGGAAGTGATGATGTTTTGAAGGGAATGTGTGTCGAAGTGAGGATGGTTTGGAAAGGAACCGAGCCAGAAGGTTGGCCCTTCTATCTATCTAGGTATCTWGTAGCATGTGACACTGCGGAGCGGTGCTTCACCTGATAGCTTCAAGAGCAGAGAGCACGCGGTGCCGATATCTTGAGTGCAGTACTGAGATGGAGGCTGCTATTATCACGTCTTCACCTGTTGTAAGTCGGACAGAAGAAGAGAAGGTCGACGGAGAGATGAAGTTGGTGGAGTGGAAAGGGCAAGATCATTAAGCAGTGAGCATATGCTAGCGTATCTACCCGCATTCATCAGCGACGTTCACAAGTACCTAGTGCCGGCCCTCTCCCCCTGCACGCGGAGGTATGTATGTACRAACAGGACCCTCTGTTCATTTTTTATCAAGTGCGGCCAAGAACCTTGCCATCGGTAGAGTGACCCGCTATAAAAGGAAATGGCAGTTCAGAACGCTGCCTCCATCGACGATGTAGTAAGGGTCTGTGAAGTGTCAACATGCTGTATATATGACCGCATATTGTTGTATCACGGCTCAGGTTGTTTCGAAGACACAGCGCACAGCATTTCAAATGCTGCACAGGAATAGTAATRCTACAGGTGAGGACTCTACTAAGGTCTCTCAACCAGATCTATCCATTCTTCCCTTTGACAACTCTTCGCAGCATTTAACATGCTGTCCACAGTACCTGGGAAGTGGATTTTGCTTGCCTTGGAAAGCGACTTGAAAAGCGACGCGGGCAAAATTCAGGGGCAGGCAAAATCCACTTTTCAGGTACTGTGGACAGCATGTCAAATGCTGCGAAGAGTTGTCGATGGTGTCTCTATGAGGTTTCTCTCGCTCGCACGTCTCAAGACCAAGCCTTGCCTATATCGTCACCATCTTATTGCAGCATTTAACATGCTGTCCGCAATACCCGGAAAGTGGATTTGTGTCGCTTTAATGTCAAATGCTGCAATTTTCAGACATATCGATGGTGTCTCTATGAGGTCTGTCTTATTCGCAGGTCTCAGGACCAGGATATTCCCAAGCAGTGGAGCACAGACCCTGATCATGTCACGATCGAATAGTTGTAAGTGKACTCGCAATCGGATACACGTGAATATGCTACATACATTCGCTGTCCGATCGCCCAGACTGCTCGCAAAGTAGTTGAAGCACAGATGAGGCACCGACAAGGCTATACTGCCTCGATTCCCGTCCCCTAATCATCATTTTCAGCTTCACCCATCTCCGTGTCAGAGTCAGAGTCAGAGTCGGTGTCAGATGTACTCTCAACCCGCTTGTCCTCCTCCGAGCATTTGACCAAGTCAGCAATCAGCTTGTCGAACCACTTCACAAGAGCCATTTGATCCTCCATCGGCTCCTGAATCGTTCTCATACTGACGCGGAGTGCCTCGTTGAATAGACCCGCAATGGCCGCCTTTGCGGCATCTGCATCTGCAGCCCGCCCGAAGTCGTTGTAGAGGTCTTCGGTGGAACGCAACGGTCCTCTCTGGCTTGAGCCGTATTCAACCTTCAGCTTATCAGCAGTCTCGCTCAATGTCGTGTTGATTTCGTGTAGCTTTGTGCGGACAGCCTCGCAAATGCTGATGATGGTGGATGGGCTTGGGTCTTTGATGGCAGTGTCGTTGGCACCAAGCAGGGAGTTGAGAGTCTTGTTGACGAATTGGCCAATTTCAGCAAACGCTGAAGGATCATCAAGTGCACGGGGGTCCTTTGTGAGATCCCTCGTAATGATGTCGGAGCAAGTGACCAGAAATCGGCGCACGCGGCCATATGACACCGTAATTCCCGCGTCGTTGGCGCAACGGAATACCTGCTTGAGACGTTCCTCGTCCTTCAGCTCCTCGCCCAATTTGGGCCATTGCTTGCGAATCTCTATGAGCGCCCGCTTGTAAACGCCGTCGGAATGACCGTCCTTCTTGTGGATCAGCTTGCATAAGTTCTTGTTGTCAAACTCGAGTACCATCTTCAAAGAGGGGTCAATGCGTGCCATCTGCTCCTGGGCTTCCTCCGAGTCTTGAAGCGCACTGAGTGTGCCTGGACCCAATTGGTTGAGTAGCTTCTCGGCTTCCTCGAGTTGAGCTTCATCGACGTCCTTGGGGCGGCGCTTGTACTCCAACCTGTATACAAATTAGTTCCATAATTGATGACGTGGTCTGTACTTACATGATCTTCATCAAATCCTTCAACTGGACCTCCTTTGGTTTCTCCTTGTGTTCCACATCCTCACCTGACGGACCGCCTTTTGTCTGCGGCGAGATCGCGTCCAGGCCAGCGGAGACCTTGTCCTTCCATGCTTTGGTACGCTCTAGGCGGGTTTTGACCTCGTCGTCGCGATATTCAGGGAAGAAGAAGACGTCTTCGAACTTGATGCGAACGGCCTTGCAGAGCATGGAGTCTGGATCCTGTTCGAACAGCGCGTAGAATGATGCATTTGAGCCTTTGTCTCCGCGATGGGCGATGACACGGAACGCCATGTTGTCGTATGGTAGTGGCGAGAACAGCAGCATGGACTGAATCGACCTGCCCTCCAACGCACCCTTTGAGGGACGTCCTGGGGTCTTCTTCGTGTCGGGCTGGTCCACGTTTGCCAGCAGCTCTAGCTGAGCCCAATCACACGTTCCCAGAGTGAGACCAACGAGAAGTCCCTTCTTCCCAGTATCTTGAATGAGCTCGCGCAAAACGGGCTCCAAGGTGGGGATTTGCTGGCCGTTCGCGCGCCTCTCCTTCAATTTTTCGTGGGCGCCTTGGGAGTTTAGTACAGGGATTCCGACTCCCATTTCACTGACGAAGATTCCAACATATCCATTTTCGACCTTTCTGGAGTCGATCTTGTGGTCGTAGTGATGCAACTGGACGTTGAAGAAGAAGTCGGTGTGCATCCTCGCTTGGGCCATGGTTGATGTGGATCACCTGTGGTGCGCGGCGGTGTGATGTCTGGAGGATACAAGTTTCCGAGTGTGAAGTTCTCAAATGAAGTTCGCCGCGTTTGTCTCGTGGAAGGTAGTAGAAGGTATCCGCGTGTCGCTGCAGGGTCCACGCTAGTGGTGTTTATTCACGCTAGCGTCACGCTAGTGAACAAACACGACCAGCTTCACTTCTTCTCCTCCCCTCACATCATCTTCTATCCATCCTCCATTACATCAAATCTTCCATCCTCAATCACATTACTGGTCTCTAGGTCTGCGTGCAACCATAGCGGACAAGCACGCGTGGCGCTTTAGTCAAGCGCTGTGAAACTTTCAGATGCGGCCACCAAGAATGCGGCAACCGACACGATGATAGCTCGGCTCGTGGCGGACTACAAAAACTCCATAAAGTGAATAAATGCTCTCCGCCCTTTCGAGCCCGATATCTTTCTCTCCTTCGAAGAACATTTTGAACAGTCGAGGGCGGATCTCATGAGCGAGGCTCGTTGGTATATTTTTAGAAAGCGGGATTGATGTACAGAATGGAGAAAGTGGCGCTTGGGGTAGTTTCACTTGCGAGATGCATTTTTAATCCGCCTCTCCATCATATGCTGGAATTGTCGTAGGCAGATTCACGATTGCGACGCTCCCCGACCGCAATCTCGACGTTCAAATAAACGAAGCAATCTCGAGAGGGTGGGGAGCAAGATTAAGCGTTCACTTTAGAAATATGCCACTACGCATACATTGTAAGACAGCCTCACGCAGATTTTCCGGCATTCAGTTGGTGAGAATCCGCCCTTTCCTCGACCGACAGAAGCTCCCTAGTTACATGTCTACCTGCTATGCTCTTTGGAAGTGATCTCGACGTATAGATCGAGGTTTGCTCCTTGAGATGAAGCCAAGCAAGAAGTCCACGAAGCCCAAGTATTTCAGACGATGGGTACTGGTGGATGGAGGAGCTCGGCAATATGACGATGGAGGAGGTCAAAAGTGCAAGAGTCCTGGCTGTCCTCGGAGTGGTGCGCTGAAGTCGCAGATCCCATCCAGACCAAGTGTCCATCACATTCTCAAAGTTCCTCCGTTTCTTGGACCTCGTCCATCGGGTATCGGAAGACGATATGGAGGATGAGTTGGATTTTTGAGATATGATGGGAGCGTCAATGAATCAGACCGCCCCGCAGCACTGTCCGCCCTCAGGTATCATCAAGGTCCAAGGACGGGTATGCTCGTTCGGGGTCGGCGGCGCCGGTCTYAACATGGACTTTGCTCAGCATGTGGTGCTTTACGAGCCATGGTGGCGCCACTGTGACGAGCAGCAATGGGTTGGACGGGCGTATCGGACGGGTCAGAAGCACCCTGTCCATGTATATCGCATCATGGGAGAGGACTGCCTCGTCGATTGGCTCTCGCGCAAGCTCAGCGAAGCCAAAGCACAAACCATCAACCAGCTCACTCAGGCGATCCGAAGGGAAGACGGAACGGATTTTGTCATTCCCGAGCAAAGCCGCGGCGCCGAGGCTCGTTGAGTGGAGTTTTAGTGGATGAGGAGACATTCGAGAGATTGATGCATCGAGGCCAGGTCTTCACCACGATCGTGTAGTTTCATTAGCATGTATTATGACTGAAAGTTATGTTCCTGTCCACCTACCAGGTAAGACTCCCTCTAGCTTGAGGCAACGTACATACATGAGGTCTTGGCAATCACATGAATCCAGGCGCGGAAACCTTGATATTGCATGCAGACAATCATACATGGCATATATTTGATTTTGGATTTGGATATTACCAAGCTATCAAGCCCGGGGGTAATAACACGAGGAACCGTCTGTGTGCAATTGAAAAAGCAGACCCATCTTTACTCTCGCCACCTTCGTCCGCCAAGCCATCTCCGTCCAGCCAGAGATGGTCTGCATGGCGGCACTCTCGGAACCCGAAAAGCAACATCAATCGGCGGATGGAGTGGTTGGTTGCGAGCCATGGTTGACGGATATGAAGAGATGACCACACAGRCTACACATGAGACATCCTCACCGCCAAATGAAGAGGTATCGTTTGCAGCATTCTACATGCTATCGAAAGTACCGCAAATCTGTACTAATCGGATAACTGTTCAGTAGGCCTTACGGACAGCGAGATGGCCTTTCAAAGACCTCTCCTGCGCCTTCCTATCTCGTGACGTGACGCGGCGCGGCCTGATGTGACGTGATGTGACGCGACGCGACGCGGCAGTCATTATCGGGCCGCGGGTCGTGCACGGACCATTGCAACGGACCTGACGTGAGGTTGCAATCACCATCACCCACGCCACATCCATGTCCATACCCATACCCACGCCACACCCATACCCATACCCACACCTATACCCATACCCACGCGGTGTGCATGCTGGATGCAAATTGCTAGGCGACAGCTCATCTCGCCCGACGGTTCCCGGCCTCACCCACTTCAATCACCCGCTTCAGTCACACACGCATGTGTCATCTCACTTTCCTCTCCGGACATGAGGTGTTTGAAGCTGACACCTCCTGCAGCATCCGATATTCCATCTACGAGTGAAGGCGGTCCCCATCGCCGCCGCAGAGTCTTCCACATCCTTCATCTTACATGTCGACTTTCCGCCATGACGTTTCACGATCTTTCCTACAYCGACTGCGCTGTCCTCATCATCGCCTACATGATCTCTCCAGGGCTATACGAGGAGGAAGCACGCGATCCATGAAATGCCTACCCAGCAGCACTGTGCTAACCTGTCAAAGATTGACTTTGAGTTTCTTGCTCTGTTGACGGTCGAGTCAGCAAAGTGGCGAAGTCGCTGCTTTCCAAATCCCAGCACTGAAGCGGAGCGATTGTTTGACAGCGGTACAGACAAGCTAGACGACAATGGTCTCGTGGCCATTCGCGACCTCACCCACGCGGAGTCACAAGCCATCGTGGCCGGGACATACATTGGCGCACGCAAGCCTATTCCACGCTGAGACTCCACGGGAAAACAAAACAACACTCAACAGCTGCCGTCGGAGCGTTGATTCTGTCCTTGCCTGCCAATTTGCGCTAACACTGCAGGTCGACCGCCATGCATTGGGAGGTGTCTTGGCTGTCGATGAGGTCGCAACTCGGAACCGGTGGCAACAGGCAATGTCAAAGCTGCGGCTGAACAGTCTGGATCAGCTTGTCGTCCGTTTCAGGCGGGCAAAATGGATCCGCTGATGATGCTGTGGGAGTAGATGTGCCTGAATAAACACGTAGACCTTGTGCCGGGCGACCGAGAGTGAAAGCGTCTACATACGGTATTCTGTGCTCGCAGCTATTCGCAGCGTTTGTTACCATCACAATGCTCAACACCATCCGGCTCAAGTAGTTGCACTTTCCATTTGCACAAAAGTGGAAGGTACCACACACCTTCTTCCATGGCAGCCTACGCATACTGCCTGCACTTCTACATACTCACCACCCACACTCATCACCCACACCCACAACCATTATCGACACCCATCCTCACCACACTCATACCACTGCACTCACGCTGCCGCGCTCACACCACCACACTCACGCTGCCGCGCTCACACCACCAMACTCACGCCGCTGCCTGCACTTCTACATACTCATCACCCACACTCATCACCCACCCACACCCATTATTGACACCCATCTTTGCCACACTCATACCACTACACTCACGCTACCGCAATCACGCCAGTGTACTCGCGCCGCCACGCTTTCACCACCGCACTCACGCCGTCGCATTCATGCCACTGCTAAATAATACTGGTTTCAGGCTTCGCACAAGACACTTGTATCCCAACGACACCATGAGTTACCCCGGTGGCAAAAACTACGTCGATCCTAACGGCGGAAAGAGCCACCCCAAACCGCCGGACCTCGACCCCGTCATTGACAAGAACTACAAATTTGCCTGGGACCGTAACGCAGCTCGATCCCAAGATATCTCAGAGTTCCGTCGCAAGACGGAGCTGTCGGGTAACTTTSAACAGAACCTCATCGCCGTGGTGCAGCAAGGTGCGAGAGAAGGATACAAGGCCTCTGCGGACACGGTCGACGTCGTGGAGAAGATTGTCTTGGCAGCATCGCCCAGGACGGTCGAGAAGCTGGAGCGATTGAAGCGATTGGAAGGCGAAGCTGCGACACTCCGTGAAGAGGTGGAAGCCTTGAAGAAGGGGCTGCAAGAAAAGGTTCATCCTACCGCCACCCAAAACATGTCTCTGCTAACCATACGACAGGACGATGATGGCGAGGTGAAGAACATCACGAAAAAAAGCGAAGACTACAAGTCCCGCAATGGGGAGCTCAAAGAAGTCTTGGCGAGGTTTCACGAAGGCGTCGATCACCTCGTCGCCAACGACATTCAAATCGTCCGTATGCCAGAGGCCGAGATTGACGAGATCAAAGAAGCCAAAGGCAATTGGCAGAAGGAGTATCTCGCCCTCGTTTTTGATCAGATTAGTGATCAATTGTTGGAGTGGCGAACCCACTRGCACACCATGGCATCTGCGCTCGACACTGTCGAGGAGGAGCGGCAGCGAGAGGATGCGGAGTCGACGGAACAGACTGAACACCTACAGCGGCAGATTGTCGATCTGCAGCAGCAGCTCTTCGACGCACGCCTCGAGTCGACCGCACTCGCGGAGGACCTCGAGACAGTTGAAGCTCGTCGTCATCTGACGAGGCCGAAGAGGAGTGATTGGGAGTGAATGATGATGGAGAGTGATGGAGAGTGATGGTTGTCGGTTGCAAAGACTTACACGGCTCATGTTTTGCGAGCATCGATGTGATGGCGGAGTCAAAGCACATTGTCGGGTTCAAGGATGACGCGGCCCACACATGGTGAGCAGCTTATGTGGTGCTACCCAGTATCGTCAGCCTCAGTATTCAGGAGGGCTTGTTGTATGTATCATGACATGATATTCTTGGCATCTCATCATCGACTTTGCCGTCAACTGTTGCGGGCGATATACATGTAGAATGATGTCCTTCTTCATGTTACGAACTCAGTCAAAATGTGGAAAGACACTCCGCTTATCGACCAGGAAGATGTTGGTGAATGACATGCAGATGGTCGGTCCATTACGACGATCCTCTGCCTTTGGGAGACAGGAATAATTGCCACCTCAAGACATGAAGAGTCTCACGCGGTGTGTGTGCGAGGACGTGATGAAATTAACGTCACGCTCCGCATCTTCTCTCTGAGCACAGCTCTTGGGAGTAACTCCAGCAGTCTAAATATGCTCTGATGTTTCGAGATTGAGATTTCATGGGCACAGGCAGAACTCGGAACAGCCGTCAGAAGCCGTCCGACGTCAATTGCTTGTAAGGGCTACGTTTGAGCACCACGGCACCTTTGGTGTACTACTCGAGAGAATTGGCTAACCGTTGATGATGTCGTTTGTAACGCAGGACTTTGAGTCTGAATTGAGAATGCGGATTCCCTATGTGATGAGCGCGTACAAAAAAGAGATTCAAGTGGATCCAGGAGATCCACCGTGTCGACTGGTGATGAAGTGACCTCAGAGTCCGCCCTCTGATAGATGAAGACCCAGTAACTTGGTTCAAAACATACGTTTATCTCACCTGTAACTAGCTATGACCTTCATCATGATCAGATAGCATTCAGAATCTCTTTCGACATTTCTAGGCGAAGTAAGGTGAGAAATCCCTCAAAGGGTCTACCCTTCCGAACGGCGGTGTAGACATTGTCTTTTGGGTCAAGACGTGCACTTTGCTCATCAGTAACTGACTGTGATACTGATTCTGGTTGCACGGTACGAGACAACTTCTCGTCCCGGACTCATCACACTGAAAAAGCGAAAACACAACCGTCATTCCTGCTCTCGAGAGATCTTGCCTTTAAGTGATGTAATGTAAAAGTGTCGCTGGAGTCTGCTTCTCGACGACATGAAGCTAGGTTTCTCGACCCCACACCCACGCTTTGCTCATCCAGAGCTGGTCGTGGTACTTATCTTGATAGGTCTTCGTGAGACATCGTCTTGGTCAAGCTTTGACGGTTTTTGTTTGAATGGCGAACGCGCATCATGAAGCCAACTCCAGCACATCAAAACAAACGCACCCTAACGTCCGCTTCTGGCGGAGTGCTAAATAACAAGGCAACAGAGTTGAGAGGTCTTTGCGAGTCAAGTCTCCATGGACATCTCACGGTGATCCGGGATACGTCTGCTAGGCACGTCGGATAGCATGCTAGATGCTGCAGAGAGATCGATCAGGCCTCCAGGGCGTGAGAGAAGGACGTTGTTCCTAGGGAAGCATGCTCCGTTGGCTTTAGGTAGCCTTAGCCTGCACAATCATCTGCAGCATTCAACATGCTATCTGCAGCACTTGGAATCACGTCAAATCGAATCTGAGCTTTCACATGCTGATTGAACATCCATACATGYATGCAGTTAGTTCAGGGGGCGATGTGAAATAAAGACACAGTCCATACTGTTCGGATTCTTTCACGCGCTTATGGTATCCTGGACACCCCTTCATAGCATTTCCCATGCTGTCTGACATGCCTGGAGACGTGTCATCTTCCACAGTTCGGCATTTCCATAGACTTCAAATTGGAAGATGTGTAGTACGCTTGTTCAACTTTAGCTGGTACTGAACCAGCGGCGATCCTTTCACGCCGTTTTGCGACAGTTCCTCTTCGTTCATGCTCCAATCTAGTTAGACCATTTGCAAAAGGCCGAGGGGCGTCTCTAGATTAGGTCGTTTACCACTATGCCCAATAGGACTACAGACACTCTTGGCTTCCTGAGTAGCTATAAATATGATGGTTGGTGAGATGCAGGCGAGGGGTTGCAAGACAGAAGATTGAGCTTTCTGGCAAGGAAAATCGAGTACACACCTCGTGCCACTGGGTGGGTATTATACAGGTCGGGATGAAGTGCCACAATTACAGAGATATGACATGCAATATAATCGTCCTGATACTGATCGGTGTGAAAAAGCAAAATTCCTTCTTGCGAGGCTAGCCAGTTGGCACTTGCCACCTAAGACTTCGACACAAGCATGCCTGATGTGCAGTAGAGTTCCACCCGCCACGACAATCACTACGATTCGGCGTTACCGGCAATGAGGCGGGCCGCTGAATGTCATGCGGCACGACATCCATCATTATTCGAAGTCGGTTCTTCCATGCTAGATGCTGCTCGACGTCAATTACATGATTTTTCTGAGAGTGAGCATGGAAGTTTTGAGCGAGTGGGCTCTTTCGCTCGGCTGCGACACAGATCACTTGCAGCTGCCGTTGGAGTGGTGGATAAGGACCGAAGGGAAAATGCTGACGTTCAAATGGATTGATAGGATGTCATGTAGCGAAGACATAGTCACATTGTCAAGATGGATTACCTTGTGGCATGCAGTGCAAAGCACGTGAGGTCGGAATCGTGCCTTCCACTTTCCCACAGTTAGAAGTTCATTTACCAATCACGTCGCATGACGAACTCCTTCCTTGACAACATACCGCCTGCTTCCCAAATTCTGACTGAACATCACCGTCACCAAAAATCCGCCTTCACTCTCTGCTACGAAGCGCTTTCGACCACAACGTCCCTCCAGAACCCAAGGTTACGACATCATGAGCGATTTTGACCATGGCGAATACGGCGAGCCCTTCGAGATGACGTGGGATCTGGAGGACGCAGCATCACAACTCGTTCCAGAAGAGACCATACCAAGGATGTTTGCAGCCAACCTCTCAGACGTCGCTCAACAAAGTATTGTTGGAGACGACAATTCCCTGGCCTCAGAGCGTGGTCTCGACGCTGTGACACAGGTTGTCCCAGAGGCATTGCCGAAGACGACGGAGAAGCTCGAGAGACTTCAACGTCAAGTCACTACACTCGTACAGAACGACCACAATGATACGTTGGAGCTTGAAGCGCTGGAGAGAGGATTGCACGACAAGGTATCATTTTACCGCTATCTACAATCCCTTGAATCCCTGTTGACCATTCAATAGTCGGATGCATTGTCTCAGATAAGGCGTAAGCTTGATCGTGCGGGCATTAAGATCGAAAGGCAGGCATCGCAGATTACAAGACTGGAGAACACCGAATTATCGCTGTCAACAACCATCGACAAGCTGAATCTCCAACTAACTGCCGCCAAAGATCTCATTCTCCAAGTGACCGCCGCCAATGACACCGAGATCCAGCAATCAACAACCATCAGAGATCTCAACCTCCAACTGGCCGCCGCAAGGCACCACGAGTCACTGCAGTCGGTACGCGTCGAAGAGCTTGATCGCCAGCTATCAGTCGCCAAGGAAGATCATCGCGGTGAAGTAAGGAAACTTAAAGTCAAGCATCAAGCCAACCAAGTTGAACAACGCCATGCTGGTGAGATGAGGAAAATTGCGAAGAGACGCAATCCTTACCAGTTTCGCATCAAAGAGCTGGAGGCAGCCTTGACTACATCCAAGCAAGACGTCGATGACACTATCAAGAACGCCATGAAAGTGCATGGCTTCAGCGGGGCGAAGGCGAAGAGCAATCCTCACAAGGAAGATGTTGATGTCATGCTCGATCGCATACATGAGCAGATGCTGGACTAGCGATCCCGCAGTCACACTACGATATCCGCTATGGAAGTTGTTAACAAGAACCAACGGCGACGGGATTCACGGACGGCCATCGACAATGAAAGCTCCTACTGCACGCATGTTCTTCGAGACGGGGGAAGCTCACCATCAGAGGAAGTGTCTTCTTTAACTGAAGTCGTTTCGAAGGTGGCTGTGTTTGTGGATTCCACCGCAAGCCCTTCTGTGTTGTTGATATCTAGTAGACTGGATTGTTAAAACCAGGGCTTACCAAGATGGAAGATTGACAATGGGCGCATGTGTTGAACATCTCCTGTGGCTCTCTATGTATGTTGGTTGACGTAWWTACACATGTTTAGGTATCATGGAACTGTTGAAATCTCATTATCAACCTAGTAAGATCCGATTGATCATTACGGGCGATGCAGTCCGTGTCGAAGGCCATCCTCTGCCCTATGTTTTAAAAACGGTGTTTTCTTCCGACAGGCCTGTGGGAAGGCGTGGGATCGAGACTACCATCCCTAACAAGACGATGGCAGCGAAGTGGACAAGTGTCTTGGAAGGCCTGCGTGTAATATGAAACCACTTTTCGCTTTCGGTCTTGCTGTCTAGACAGCCTCTGGCAAAGTTTCTTCTCGGCAGTCAGGATAACTCGGCGCAGGCTGTCGTAGTTACTATCAATTTCCGACATCGAAACTCTTTCAACCTCGACTTGAAGGTTTTTGAGTACTGTTCCCACCCCGATAAGCGGTTGTGCGGAAGTGCGACATACAGACATCTTCAGCATCGGCAGAATTAGTCCATCATGCTTGTGACTCATGAAGCGCCATGGAGCGTCCTTTTCAGACTGCTTTCATTGTCTGGGGTGCGTCGCTCGCGAAGTGCGAGCTTTAATCAGCCTATGCAATACGCGAGGGCTCCATTGAAATGACTAAGGCGTAGAATGTCATGAGTATCGGCCTTGTTGCAAGTGTGATAATGTCTAATTCGACACCGAAGTCACTTGTTACGAACTCTCGCGGTAGTTGCATGCTCTTTGATAAAGGTTCATCCTCCTGCTGTCTTTACTGAATATGCGTGAAGAACAGGAAGGCCAGACGCTTTGTCTGACCCAAACGCTTGTTTGCCGACATTTCTTACCCAGTTTGAAAGAAGCGAGCTGCACACTTCCGCCTGTCTGAACTTGCGCATGATCAACCATAGCCTTGCTTCCCGTACTCGTCAACCCAGAATACACAATAACTTGTTGTGCGTTATTGAGCAGCGCCGAGAAGTGGTCCCGATTGGAATTCTTGCGTTCACGTTGCTCTAGTGCCGTTCGTCAGGCTAGGTGCGAACATAGCTCGCCCAGGGATCGAGCTGAACACTTACTATCGGCCGCTTCCAAGAATGGAATCGCCGTTCAGTGAGTTCGTAGACGACGTGGAACCCAAGCAGTCTGGATGTTGAATATCTTATTGATTTGGTAGGGACGACATACTAATGGCTAGTATTCTACTCAGCAACAAGATAGTATGGTTGCACATCTACCTGTTGTTCCAGGAAACGAGAGCTACAGGGAACCCGCTCAAAGTTTCCAAGCTAACCCTATCAAGTCAAGCATCTAGACACAAAAGCCGCAAAGGCAAAAGCAGCTTCAACATGCGAGAGCACACCAAAGATGTCTAAGCTCCACGACAACGCACATCGAAACATAAGCCAGCTTCAGCTGGAGATTTTGCAAACATTGCGAGACTTAAAGAGAGTCTTCTGCGCATGGCAGAAAACACCTGGTGGGCGAGAGGTCATTAACAAACTTCTCTTTAGATGTATGTATTCAGCATGTGCCAAGAGCAGCAAAATAAGCCTCGAAACCCACCCATATCTTGATTGGAATGGCCCTTAGCCGCTGCATCCATCTCCGTGCACAAGCGAGATCGATATGGTTTGAATGCGCAGGTCGATGTGAGCTGCTTCTTCCCGATAGACAAGGACTAAGCTGTTTTGGGATTCAATCTGGACGCCAATTCGACGTAGGGGTCCAAAGCTAGCCACGATAGATCAGACATAGTCTGTGCACGCACACTGCGTACCTCAGCTTCGCGAAGCAAGCAAGGAAAGCAATGGACACAAGGCAGGAGCTACGAAGGGTCTTAGTGAAGATGGAAAGTATACATTCGAGAAGGTGGTACAAGTTCTTGGGAGTCGAGAAGTAGTATCCAAGGTGAACACACCAACTTCTTCCTCATGAGCCTAACGCCAACAGAGGAAGATATTTGGAAGGTTGTCAAACGGGGCACTGTTGTAGCAAGTTCGCGAAGCGGTAAGAGCCTGATGGACTTGTCGTCTACGCGATGACCGTCTAACCCCTCTCCAGTTGATCGCAGCTTGTTTGCTACTATGTGTCTAGATCCAAGCCCAGAACAGACTAGCCGAGCAGTCTAGTCATTAAACCTTTCAGGGGAGGAGCATCTTCATTTGCTGTATAGATTTACAATGTGAAGACAGATCGAATTGGCGCATACATTGCTGAGTTTAGGCAGTCGCCGAGGTCGTAGCTCTTTCGTATTGCTCAACGAGCAGAACGCTCATCCTTGAGAGTCTGTTCATAACGTTCATCAGATCATGTCAAATCGTTCGCTGCCCTCTGACAGAAAGGCCCTAGACTCTCATGTCTTGCAGCGGTCTCCTACCGCCTCAAACTTCTGTCATTTTTCTGAGTCACACGATGATGATCATCCTCCCCTTACGTACGTATCGACAAATGGGACCATGGCAACAAGGCTGCCTTCAACTTAGTCTTCTCTTTGGAAGCGTGTCGTTCACATTTGCGGTAGCGGCGAATCGTTCACATGCAATGTTCCTCTTCTCGAATGTAAGTCTAATATAAAACATCAAAGAACAAGCTGCTATCTACCCGAGGTGATCAGTCATTATTCTTCTCTTTCGTCGAAGAGATGCTTTTGTCGCCGCCACGTTCGATCTCACGTCTAAGGCATATTCCCAATTAGCTCTAACCTACTTAGAAAGCACCTTAGCGGCAAAAGCAATGAATAAAGTCGAATGCCAGGACAATACTGTTAAGACAATCGCTGCGTAAAGCACAGCGAATAAAACTTGCGGCAAGCTCTAGCGTATCTGTAAGGCTGCTAACTATGGCAACAGTAGCCAGAACACAACTCGATCGCTTATTCTTCCCCTTAGCACCCGGGCGGTATGCACATCTATCCAGATAAGTATGTTCGAGTATAACTTCAGTTCGAAAGAAGATGAATATGTCAATTACAACCTTGTAGGGCCTATCTGTACGCTACGTGGCCTTCACATTTAAGAGGTGTTTGGGTGTGTTAATTTGATTTAGGGTTGAATCAAATATTGGCGGAAGGATTTCGGAGATATATAGGTGATATCTCGGAAATAACTCGGGTCGTCGATTGGGGCGTGTAATCGATGTGAATTGAATGAGGGATTGATTAGAATGTGTAAAATGTATTAAATAGACAATTGATCGTTGTATTGCTTGACCTGTCTAGAGATGGCCGGATTAGGCCATATCTATACTTTCTAGATTGTTAGCTAGAATATTCCATGTGTGGCCTTGATTTCTAATCAATGCATTGATTAGCTAGAGTGTAGTCTCTAGAATGTTCTAGCAATGCATTTGATCGCATTGATTGCGTAATCGATTACGTCATTGATTGCGCAATCAATTGCGCAATCAATTGCGCAATCCATTGCGTGATTAATCGACTCGTTCTTTCTAGAACATTCACTTAAGCTTTTTTAGGGTCTGTCTAGAGACTTCCCAATCGGGCTAAAGCCAACGCCCAACGCCTAACGCCCAACGCCTTCCCAAAAGGGAAGGTTAGCCGAAAATTGGGCTGAGGCTAGCTAAGGCCAACTTAGGTAGTCCTTAATCAATATTTAGCTAGAATGAAGATTAATTATTCTAACAGGCCTTTAGCGTGTACGTTCGTACGACGCTCTACTTGTAGTTTATCGATAGGTGTTTAAACACAATGTAGTAGAACTCTAGGATCGCCGTTAGTAGGTCGGGAATGCGGCCGTAAAATATGGCTATTAGCCTAGTATAAACAGCGAAGGCCTCTCCCTAATGCGCTAAATACTAAAGCTCCTTTATAACGGACGAAGGGATAGCCCTTACGCCGGATAATTCGGAGGACTCCTTATTAGYAATACTTATCGCGAAGGTGCTCGTACGTAGCCGCGCGATAGAAAAGGGGTCGAATTTCCTATTAAAGACGTCTATAATATAACGCGGATCGATGTCCGTAAGCTTCGATAATATACTAGCATGTTTAGTAGGCAATATCGTACCTTCTTTAGCTTTTACTATACTCGAGCTATACTCGTTTGCACTGCCTATTAAGGGGGCTATAGGCGCTAGTGCCTACGCCTTTTATATCTCCGCCTCGATCTTCTCGCGCTCCTTCTCTCGTATAAACTTCTTATACGATATCTCTTCTCGTAGGTCCGTACGAAGTGCGTCTAACTTTTCTCTCTCGAATTCGGTAGTAGCCGTAGTAGCGAGGGCGTCTATTATTAATAGGCGTTTTCTACGCTAGTTAGAGCTTTAMGATGTAGGGGAATGCTTACTACTATCTTCGTCTTAAAGTTCGTCGGCTAATCCCGCGGCTTAGCGAACCCTACTTCTACTACGTAATAGTATAGCAATTCTAGTACTATTTCGTCTAGCTATCGTTTTAGGCAATTACGCACTAGCGGACTGTCTAGAGGCTCTAAAATTAGCGATAGCTAGATATATAGGTGTCCGTATTAGTATTGCCGTATATCTTAGCAGATAGCGGCGTTTAACGGAATAGTAGTGCCTACGTGCGCGTAAAGGGCGTACGGATAGAGAGCTAGGTCGGCTTAGCTCTTAGGAAAGGAGGTAACGCCCTTATATATAGACCCTGTCCTTTTAGAGCATAAACAGCGGTTATAGTAGATCTAGTGTAGGCAGGTAGTAGAGTAGGGCTCGTATATAGATAACTAGGCAGATACTAGTGCCTATA